ATTCTTACTGCTTTTTTATTTTATTTTATTTTATTTGAATTTTTTTACAGGTGCAGACACTGTGAAGCATTGTGGGGACATTTGATTGGAGTCCAGTCCCGTCACTGCGTGTGCAGAACAGGTCCTATAGGAATTACATATATACTGGACTGAATGAGGTTCGGTAATGTAAATAAAGCAGGTCCTGCTGTGTGAATCCGGTTCCCCCTCCCTACCTCCCCTTGTTTGGAGCAGAAAATTATGCATGGAGCTTCTTGGAAAGCTGCTTTATCTGAAACATTTTAAAGCCTCCATGAGTCAGCCGGTCTCCTCGTACAGGGTGCCAGGAGTGTCGCTTTGTTCCAGCTCTTTTGTATGTCTAATGACTTCCCTCCGCGGGTTGTTAGCACTTGACAGCGGGTCTCAAAACGACGAACTTTTCTTGCGGCCGTGTATTCAAAGGAGCTCCATCTAGGTGCGATGATTGGCAATTTTTGTCATGATCCTCTCGTTATTAACATAAAAATTGACACGGAAGACGCGATGTGAAATTATGTGCACCTTCTAGCTGATTAGGGACGTCCCCACAGAGCAGAGACTGGAGAAGCTATATTGCTGCCAAAATATCAGTCTGTTGGAGGCCTTAGTGAAGAAAGATGGACCAAGCTAAACAAAATAAAAAAATAAAAAAAAACACCTTCTGCTTTTTAAAGTTTTGACGGAATGTACTTTAAAGCTGACATAAATAGTCAGGTAAAAGTTTGGTTTTCAAACCTTAGAAACGTAGGACTCCCTCATGGAGTACGTCAGTATGAAATGGCCGAGGTAAACTAAGTAAAGTGGGGGCGGAGGGGGAGGTGTTTTGTTTTTGTTTGCAATCAGACAAGTCGTCACGTTGCAGTTTCTACGTCCAGTTCGTACCCAGACAGGTCAATCGGTTTCCCTTCTATTTGCGCATCAGTTCATTTCTCCGGTTTTATTGAACCCTATCCACTGACTTTGTGTCAGCCCCCGCCCCCTTTCAACAGTACATCAGTTTCGTACACATTTCTTACCATTTAATCTTTTTTTCTTTTTGCTTCAATTTTTGTTAAAAATTTAAATGTTAAATGAGTTGCTGCATATTAGCTAATTTCTCCAGGTGGGTGTTTCTGGGATGAATTATGGATGTTTTAATTCTTGTATAATTCATAGAACTATAGAAGATTTAACATCCCTCTTATTTCTATTGACTATGACTCCAATGCATATGTGTTCCAGTCCGAGTAATGGTAATACCTTTCTCATTTTGTTCGTTTTGTATGCAACTTTTTTTTTTTTTTTACGGAACAGTGTTGTCTCAAGGGATTATCCTTTAGTGAGCATATCATTTGTAAGACAGCAGATGGAAGTTTTCTGTTGCGACCCATTCTTTAAATTCTATTTTCTATTTTCTTTGTTCTACTTTAAGAAAATGTGGTCATATGTTTTCAAGTCAGTGCAGAAGGTTGCATCGAATTGCTTTGATCTCATCAGATAATCTTTCAGATTTTAAAAAAAAAAAAAAAAACTGGTACGTAAAAAGGGGCTTACGAACGAATCAGATTGGGTATTGGGTTCCAACAGGGTGTTAACAGCACGTTTTGAACTACCAGTATAACACTGAATTAAAGTAAAATGGGAAATTTAAGCATTATCATTTTTGTCTCTCCTAATAAAAAAATTAAAAAATTAACCACGAACAAAACCAAATTTATATGCAGTCGTTTAAGTGAAATAAGCAAAATGGAGGTCATGGAAGGAATGTGGGAATAATTTGACAATGAAAATGCTGCTTCAGAATTTTTCAACATGTTTTCAACATGTTTTCATATATATATATATATATATATATATATATATATATATATATATATATATATATATATATATATATATATATATATATATATATATATATATATATATATATATATATATATATATATATATATATATATTTCCTATCACTGATTTAGATTTTTTTATAGAAATCTCAGCCAATTTAGCAGTTTTTCACTCGGATCAAACCGAAATATCTCTGAACGAGCTCGTGCTGGCAGATGCTTTTAAACTTCATCACAACACATTCCCTTACAAATTACAGGATAAGACTGAAGAAAACCCCTTTAAATCATGTCTTCTCGTAGCAGGAAGGAATGGACTCGGGGTCAACACGAAACATCCGGTGGAAGATAAAAACGTTGGGTACGAAACAACCAAACAGCAAAAGTAAAAAAAAAAAAAAAAAATGGTGGAAGGGCGAAATAACCAGCCAAGAAAAACTGGTCTACTGGCATTACGGGGGCACGTCCTCTGAAAACTGTTGGCTATATGAATGGCGACAGTTCTTGCTGTTCTTGCTGTAGTAGTAGTAGTAGCTAGTAGTAGTAGTAGTTGTTGTTGTTGTTGTTTTTAGAAATAATACTTACACATGAAACATTGTGTCTGTTTACAACGCTTGACGCACACGTGTCTTTAAAAACAGAGGCCGGGTGACCAGTTATCTGTTAAGTGAGCTCTCCTCTCGCTGATCAGGTGATGGGACTGAGGTCTTACTGAGAACAGCGGCGGAATACGGCAGAAAGCTGCTCTCTGACCTCTGCGTGGAGGCCGTGCAGGTAAAGTCAGCGCCGGCGCTCCTGGAGCCCAGCGCGCTGGCTGCCTGGCTGCTGCTGTGGCAGCTCAAACACGAACAGGGCCCGGAGGCGGACGGAGCGCTGACCGCAGCCGCCGCAGCAGCCGCCGCCGCCGCCGCGGAGGCCGCAGCCGAGCTGTTTAGGCCCGCGGGCGACTGGTACAGTCCCGGGTGTCTGAAGCTGCACAGGAGCTCTGGCCGCGAATATGGATGGGAGAGGGCGCGGAAGGTATCGAGAGGCCGGATGGAGGTGGCGAAGGGTGAAGAGGCGGCTCCGGTGGCCGCGGCGGCCGCTGCTGCCGCCGTGACGCCGACGTGCGGATAGTAGTGCAGAGGCATGTGCGAGTGGAAGGGGTATGGTAGGCTTCCTGTGGCGGCCGCATGCGTCATCATGTAAGTGTAGAAGCTGGGGTCTGCAGGATGGGGCCAGGACATGGCCAAGCGCTGCCTCTTATCCTTCATCCGCCTGTTCTGGAACCACACCTGCGCATAGAGTCAGAACAAGGCCCATATTGAAGCTGCCGTGTTGCTTTCAAGCACCACATTTAGAAAGGGGAAGAGTGTGCTTGAGCGTGTGCAGCAGGAGGGACACACACGTCCTGCTTTTGACGATAAATATTTATTAGAAACGCTCCCGTTTTTATGAAGAAGCAATAAAAGTGGGATTTAGATAAGATGCTGCCCTTATTATGAACAAATTTGTTTTGGTTTGTGCAGTTCATATATATATATTATAAATGCAAAACATAAATAATAATAATAATTTTGCGTGCACGTTGGGTTAAAAAAATACCTCAAAGAATTACAATAATTATTAAAAGATCTGCATGAAATTGTTAACTTGTAAGATCTGGTATTTACACAGCTACCAGTTATTTTTATGCATCATGACCTGCAGCCTCACCTTAATTGTTGTTTCGGGGAGATTCAGCGCTGCGGCCAATTCGCACCTCCTCGGTCTGGAAACGTAGTTTTCCCGATAAAACTCCTTTTCCAGCCTCCCGATCTGTTCCCGGGTGAAAGCAGTCCGATACCTCCTGACCTGGTCGGTGTTGGAGTTGTTGGATCCTCCCGCCGAGTTTCCGTTCATGTTCGGCAGGGAGTTCGAGCTTGTGTTGGAGGACGCTGAATTACTGTCAGAAAAAACTGAAAAATAAGAAGAATTATAGGCCTATGCTTTTATTATTGTTGTTAGTAAGAGCTCACTAAGCTACGAGAAAAAAAAAGACTCTTGTGCGCCTGTGTGGTCCCACAACTGCATATATTTTGATAATTTTATTTTTCTTATTGCACCAGTTTATGGTGCACACACCAAAGAGCAAGCTTAAAAAAAACGAGAAAAAGAAAGAACTATAAGAAAAGATCAGAAAATGAATTACTTTTGCTGGAATTGGAAGAAATTTAAACGTAAGATTATGGAAAAGAAACACATTTTCAATTGGTGATTAAAAAAATTGTAAATAACTCCGAAAAAAAATAAATAGGCTATATACAATATTAAAGAGCGTTATGCAGGTAACACATGATCTCACCCTTGTTGTTTTCCTTGTGCTGGCTCGGCGAGCGATGCGCAGGGCATCCCACCTCCACATCACTATTTATGTCTGATTCTTGCGAAACTTCGGAGTAAAGACTCATTTTCTTCCTGCTCTCCGACGAGGAAATCTCCGCAGACGAGGCGTTCTCGCTGCCGTGGTGCGTCCCGAAAAGACTTTCGATTTCAAATTTGCCTTTCGTCGGGATGTCCCCGAGATTCCCATGAAGGGACGCCGAGGTGATTCTCGGACTGAGTCGTCCGCCGTGTTGGGAGTTTTCCAGGGCCTCCAGAACTGAATTCCCCGGCGCGTCCCCGAGCCTCTTCCCCGCAACAGGACTGTGCAGACCCCTCTCCATCAATATCATCTCTTTTCTTATCCTCTCCATCATTAAGCCGTGCCAAAAAAAAAAAAAAAAAAAAAAAAAAAAAAAGGAAACGAAAAGAAAAAGAAAGGGGAGGAAAAGGCACTAAGACACAACGCTTGTCCAGGGATGGGCTGGCTCACAAATGAGTTGTGTCAGAGCTAAATCCGCATGCAACTCTGCTATACCGTGTCTGGATCAAGCGTTTTATAAGCAAGACGCGAAAAAATGTAAGAATCTGAATGCAACCGAGCTGCGGGCGCGCATCCTTCCTCACATGCAGCAGCGGGAGGGGAGAAAAAGAAAAAAAAAAAGTCATTCATCAAAAAAGTGCTCGATGTCCGTTGTTAAAATGCTGCGCCGACGCCGCTCCAATGATCATTTATTGTAACAGGTTTATAAGCAAATAAATAGGAGAGGGCTGTCACTTGATGATGGAGGCGGCCTTCGGTCAGACGAATAATATCCAAGTGGAGGGAAGAGAGGAGTGAGGAGCGAGGTGCGCGTCCCTGGCTTGATCTCTGAGTCTGTTTCAGATCGCTCTTGGGTTTGGCCTCTTGGGGGGGAATTGACAGTCTGATTAATAAAATGAGCGGAGCAGCATTTCCCTCTTCATTTAGGAATATTATTATGCTTTGATTCTCTATTGTTTGCCTCCTCTCTTTTCGCCCTCCCCCTCTCTAATACTTGTTCTTTTATTTATCCCGCTTATCACATTTTTTGTGTTGTAGTTTATTATTATTATTATTATTTTTGCAACTCCCTTTGATATAATGTGCTTTTTAGTTCCGAGATTAAAGGAAAAACAATGATTTTTTTCACCTATTGATAAAACAATTTCTTCTTTTTTGTCTTTAGTTGAAATATGTCAATTTTTCCACCTATAAAGATTACAACTGTAGGTTATGTTTTACAGACACAGCCTCAGAAAGACGAAATGCAGGTGTTTTTTTTTTTTTTTTTTTTTTTTTTTTATGGATCCCCTGACAATAGCACAAACATATCTTTAGACCTTGGATCAAAACGTAAATGATATTTAAGAAAGCCTGAACGTGCCAGCCAATCCTTTAATGAGACACATAAAAATAAAATAAAAGTTCGTTTCGTTGACGGATTGCTGTTTTATTTGTTTGTTTTTTTTATTTTTATTTCTGCGTTTAAATCGAATTCAACAACTTTATTTTTATCGTCTTCTTTCCCTTAATTTTTGAATGCATTTAATGAACGACTTCTTCTGATCCTGGACAAGTTTCTAAGTTTTCAGTAGTTGTTCATTGTAATTATAGTTTCGTTTGTTTAACATGCTTCTTCAAGTAATAAAAAATATCAACACTCACGCATCGACGGGTTGTTTCACGATTTGAAAGGAATATGAAGACGCCTTAAGTTTCATCTGCGCGTCCTCTGGCGCCCCCTACAGGTTTTTAGTATTAACTACTGGCTTTGATATCAGAAGCGGTTCATTATATGTCCTGACTTGTCTCTTTCTTGACCTTTATTCGGAATATTCGCAAGAATTGTTTTGCATGCCAATGTCTGTAGTTATTTTTGATGAAGCAGTTACAAAAGAAAAACAGTCTGTAACTCAGATTTTGAATTATAAACGTGCCTCGATAACATATCTAAATTATGTAAGTTAAGTTAAAATTGTTCAAATAATAACCACGCCTTGGCAGAAATATTTATGCAGTTTTTTTTATATCTTTATCTCAAAAGAGAGATGAAATAACACAAATATGTTTCTGCAGGGCCAGTTGGAGGCATAAGTAAATATTGGAAGTGATCTATATGTTTTGGATTAACTGCCGAAAGTCAAGTGGTGACCCATTTTTCATTTTTTACACGGTTTCATTTAATATCTTGGCAGTTTTAAGAATTAATAGCACCACAAACAAGGTTTTAATAAGGTATTCTGTGAGTTTGAAATAAAAACAGGTCCACTGCATCGTAGTAACCACCTCACCCTTAGTAACCTGTTGGACTACAAAGAGGTTGTATATTTGAATACTACATTTAACATGAATTTGCACTGAAGATAGAGATAAAAAAAGTCCATAACCACAAATCCATGTAGTTTCACTGAAAATAAACAAGAAAAGCTTTTATATATTTTGTTATCATAAAAGGATGAAAGTCTTGGCAAACTAATAAACATATTATGTCTGATTTAAAAAGGAATCCGTCAACTTTTCAACATAAATGTACTTTCTCTGTGTGAGTAAACCAGAAAGTCAGAATGAATCCCATTGCTTTAATACTGGCTACTGATGATCCATTCAGAAACTTGCCAGAAACAGATTTTGGAAATGACTGATGAAAAATGACCTTAGTCTGACCAGTTTTGTTGGACTCAGTCTCTCTCCAGTGGTCAATGGAGGAACTGCAACTTATCCCTCTAAGGGGCTATTTGTTCCAAAGGTCCAGAATCCTGGTTTCCGGAGCTTACTGTTATTTATGTTTTAGACATTTTAGAAATGCATAGTTATGCTTCTACAGAATTTGATGACACACTGAGGAGCAAATACAGTTTCTTGTGACTCCACAGCCTTCATAAATGTTCTTTAATTGTTCCCTCTTCATTGCATCAAGAACTGGCAACATGTAGATTATCATTTTTGACAAGTCTTAAATTAATGAGGTATGAATCCTGTCATTTGAAAACCTTTGCAAGAACAAAAACTGGCAACCATTATTTTGCTTTTTAATAGTATTGCATGTAAGATAATGTCTTTTTTAATCCTTTGTGTGACCTATAGACAAATGTAACTTATAGACCAATGATTCTGAGCTTTATATGCACCTTTTTATCATATCTGCAGAGATTTTTGATCATATATTGAAACCTTTAGGAATTCACCCCAAAAGAAAACTAATTTACTGCACTTTTTTGATAAAATAATTTTATTAGAACAGAAAAGCATTTTTAAATAGAGTTAAATACTACAGATTCCATTAATTATATTGAAATCTAATTCATTCTTAGCTAATATGCAAAATCAGATATTTTCCCTTTGCATAACAAAAGGAAGAATCACACAATGCTTTTATGTGGTTGTGTTGTCCTGGGGAGAAAACCATTTCACCCATTTTCAGGATCTTCTGTGGAATTCCAGTTCCAATAGTGAGTTTTAGAAAAAAAATTGTGTGTGTATAAAAAGTGCTGTGTTGAGTCAAAAAAAAATTGTGAATAACCATTTATTTGGAAAGCCAAGTTCAAGTTCACCAGCAAGTCCAGGTGTGACGAACAACAAACTTAAATAGAACCAGTCTGACTAAATGAAGTAGGCTACAATATATTAAGCATGCAGTAATATGAGACATTCAAAGCACAAATGAGAAAGTCACTGGTGTCTTCTAGTCTGGAAAGGTTTGTACAGTGATTCAAAAGAATTTGTGACTCCAGTGAATAACAGGAAAAGCCATTGTCCACAAATGGGAAAAACATGGAACATCGCTGAATCTTCCCCGGACTGGTCAGCCGACCAAACTTTTTCTGTAAGTACAATGCATACAAATCCAGGAGGTCAGAAAAAATCCTAGAGCAGCATTTAAATACTCATAGGTCTCACTCACCTCCATTAGGTTCAATGTTCATTATTCAACAATAAGAAAGAAATGGGGCAAAAGTGGCTTCCTTGGGAGAGTTACAAGATTAAAACTCCTGTTGAAACAAAGAGCACAAAGACTCTTCTGACACTTACCAAGATGCATCTTAATGACCTTTTACCATGTCGGTCCAGCTCTGGAGTCAATGTCCTGACAGGTTTAGATGTGTTTGTGCTTCATCAAAGCTGATTCAGATTTTCCAGCTATGTGTTACATATGTCAAACTTCTGCAGAGGCCTGCTAATGAACCTCATTGGAATCTGGTGTGTTGGCCTAGGGGAAAGGGCTAAAACATACCAGCCCTTGAGGAGTGACTTTAAATAATATCCTGACAAAAGTTTAACTTTTTGAAAGGTGCGTTTCCCATTACATCTGGAGTGAAATGACCAACCCTTTGGAAAAATTTATCATAATGCTGACCAGCATGATAGAGGTAAAGTCAGTGTCTGGGCTTGTTTTGTTGATTCAGGATTACTCAACATAGTTTATGGAACTCTTCTGTTCTCTTGTAGAAGGTCTGGTCACTAATTCATGACCATCAACTCAACCACACTGGGCTGAAGAGTAGACTTTAAAAAAGGAAGACTTTGGAGTGACCACATTCAATCTTTGATTTACATCCAATTAAGTTATTGTGGTTTTACCTAAAAAGGCTCTAAAACATCCCAGTGTCATAAAATCAAAACAATTCTGCAGACAAAACAGTTATGTTTTCTTGAATGATCAGGTTGGCCTGGATTACTTTTTTTTTGCTCAATAAGCTAAATTATAATTTAAAACACTGCCCTTTTTATTTGAAAGAAATTTGTCTGATATTTAAATTAGTTTGATTATATGAAATATGTTAATGAGACAAAAAGGCAAAAGTTTAAGAAAGTACAAATTGCAATGTCAAATATGAGCATTGTTGTGTTTGGTATGCTTTTAGAAAAGAGAATCTCCTGTCTCCTTCCAACCTCACTGAATTTGATTTATGCAGAAAAGAAGAACAAATTTACAAATATACAAGAGGAAGTATGATTTAATGAAGCTGACTAAAATTGCTTCAGGCGTCTATTTATTTAAAAATCCATCTAAAAAATGCATCCTTTCCCAAATTCATAAATATGAACTTGTATATGCTAGTCCCACAAAAACATATAACCCTCATCAGAAAACAACTCATATTCTGGACCGCTGAAATCAATATGGGTTCCTCTAGTAAAAAAGTCTACATTAATCCATTAAATAATTTTTTGTTCTCATATACTTTACTTCTTTAAATAAGCTTCATTCGGGATTAGAACTGTAAATATCTGTTTCATTTTTGAAAAATTCTCAAACATTTTAGTGCCATAATAACATGATCATAATTACAACCTATATTTGTTATTTATAAAACCAGACAATATATTGTATAAAAACTTAAGCAAAATGTTTATGGTACTTGTGTTGAAGTAAAATGTTTCTATGGAATATGCAACAAAACATAGCGGGGGGTTTAACCTTGACACTTTCATCAGCAATGCAGTAGGCATTTGATTTTGACTTGATCCAAATCATAAATCTGCAGAAAATCTGACTCCAATAGGAGCAAATATTGAAAATCAAAAATTAAAAAGTCATTCAAAGGATCTGGGTTCACACAGAGGGATAAGCTTTGGGTCAAAACAGTAAAATGTGTAAACCTTAAAACGAAATATTGTCTTCAACAACAAGAAGATTATATTTACTTATCAAACGGTCTAATTGTCAGTGTTGGTGTAGTTTAGTACATTTGTCTTCCACAAAAGAGTTTAGCCATTAACTACTCTGATTGCTATCCACCTAGGTTTCTACTAAAAACGGTCAGATAAACTAAAAACTGTCAGTAGCAGCACCAACCCCCCCTTTGTTACAGGAACTGCATCATCAATTTTCTTTCCTTAAGTGAGAGGGCCATCTAGTGGCAGCTTCTTGCAAGTGCAGAAAACACAACCAGCAAAATGGTTGATCAGGCCAACCTTTTTTTTTTTTTTTAATTCTAAGTCTGTCTATGTAGATTCAAACATTTTACTGTTTACCGTAGAAATTGGTTACAGGAGATTTACTTTTTATTTTTCCCGAACCTTGGAGAGTTTTATCATGTTGTCTCACATTCTTTAAAAAAAACAAAACATAATGCTAGATATCACTGAGTCATGGATTATTTCCTAAAAGAGCATTTGGTTTTTGCGTGTCTCAATTTATTTTGCTTCAGTTTGTTTAAATAATACACGTCATGGAGAATATCATTGCGGGTTTTTTTTTTATTACTTTAATTTTTTTGTGCTCTGTTTGATGCGTTGTTGCTTTGTTTTATTTCAGGACGTTTTGCAACATAAACAGCAAATGACGTTGCTTTCGACCAGGTCCAAATTTTAGTTCATATCAAATGAATGCATTTCAACATCCCATAAAATCATGCAAAATATTTCGATTATATACAATCAAATCATATATGCAAGTTCATTTATTCATAAAATGTGTTTTATATATAAAAACACACATATAAATGTGTTTGCTTTCTAATAACAATAAGTGGACACAAAGTAGAAGGGTTTGTATTTTAGCATAAACTGCTTATATGGCCTCCTGGCTGGCAAAAAAATAAATAAATAAATAAATAGCTAAATAAAAAATTCAGGTTGCTGTTCAAAACTTATTGCAGCCTTTCGAGAAATGTATCCAGAAGCAGCAGCTTTAACCAAGACTCTTCCGTTTATTTAATTCCCCCCACTTTTCCTCGTGGTTTTCTGTTTCCTAATTTAAAACCTGCGATCGCATTGTTCTCAGTGAGCTCCATATTAAAGTGGGAGCTGCCTCACAGCGGATTATTATCACCGGCGATAATAAACAAGCCGCGATTTTACATCAAACGAGCTGTTTAATTTTCCACTCAGTAAAATTAAATTGCTTATTTGAGGAATCGCTCTCCGCAGTGAGTCTCGACCCTCTTCCGTCTCCTCACAGTAATAACAGACAGATCGGAAAAAAGAAGATAATAATAAAAAAATATATTTAGCTGGAAATGATCTGTTTTTTAATTAGTGCCTAACGGCTCCTCTTTTGAGATTTCATTTGTTTGAGCCTGATTAACTCACGGCTTCATAATTAACTTTGCAAATATGATAAAAAGAAAAAATAATAATTCAGTTTGCTCCTGATAATGAACACTGGAGTCTAGTTTTGTTTTAATGCTCAATAAAGCTTAGGATCGTTTGTGTTTGGCGAAATAAAGGTGATTTTCCACATCAAAAGCGCGATGCTTATTAACACGTGTGTCTTAATATTAATGAAATGAAAAGACTTTGTTTGTTTTGTTTTTTTTACATTTTCGTTTACTGTGCTTATACTTTACATCCTCCGACGAGCTGAACGCTGCTGGGAGTCTGGACGCTTTCGACACGTTTCCCTGTGCAAAGAACTTGAACGAGGGGAGCAGCAAGTTTATTACCAAGGACAATAGACGAGGAAGCGCTTCAGTCAAAGGCCATGGAAATCAGCCAGACTTGAGCTCCTCACTTTGGCTCCTGGCACCGTAAACACGGGGATTGAGGAGCTGTAAACGACACTAAAACGTTGTCTAATTTTGCAATTTAGGCGTTTATGAGGAGGGTCCGCAGCTTTGGAGCCAAAATTAACTCAGAAAACCTTTCCAAAAAAAGTTAATTGGCTTAAATGGCGAATACTAACATTGGCATTTGTTGCGTTTGATTTTAAGGAAAGATCAGAAACGATCACATGTTGCACCAGCGGCGTGGCGCTGAATTAATGTCCGTTTGGCTGTAAAAACAATATATAAAGGGGCCAAGACAGTCGTCCGGGGATATATTATAACTTGAATACGTTTTCTAAATGTCTGCGTGGAAAACATTTTGAGACGCGTACGAAAAAAAAGACTGTTGTCTAATCTCTGTATCTAAACAGCGTGGAAAGAATCAAAACATTTCTGATAGTTCAGATGATCCTCATGAAAATGACGAGATAGCTGAAACTCCGCCATTAATGAAGAACAGACTCCCAGGTCACTGTCTAAATGCTCTCATGTTTAACTGGGAAAAGGGAGGAAGAAGTCGGACACATTTGTACAACAGATCGTTGTAATTTGATCAATAAGACCGAGTTGAACACCTGAAAGACACTTTAGTGAATTAGTTGAATTTGATTTATTGTTATTTTTGAAGTACATTTATAACTAACTAATCATTAAGATGAGTTTTGCTCAACTGATCGGGCCTTGAATGCTGACAAAACTAAGAATTGTTTTCCGATTTCGGCGTGAACCGCCGCTGAAACATCAGCGAAGCTTTTTTATTTAAGGTTGAATAAAACCAATCGGACATGTTTTATTGTAAAAGTGACATTACCAAGCTGAATGGGGGAAACACGAGGAGTGTGTCAGGCTGGGGGAGGGCATGTTACATTAGACGGGTATAGAAACTGTTCTGTGTATGAATCTCCGTGTGAATTGCCACACATACACACACACACACACACACACACACACACACACACACACACACACACACACACACGAAAATGAACATTAAAATAAAACAAATCTATTCGAGGTGCGTAGAAGCCATTTCCCTGACCAAAGCTAGAATGTCCTGCTTGTTGGAAGCGACTGTCTCAAGGTTAAAAAGCCCAGCTTGGTATTTTTGGCTTGACTTTAGCAACGTGGCTAAAGTTGTTACAGAAAAACTTACACTTTTATTATCACATCTACAGAAACTTTCTCAACCAGGAAACGTGTGTAAACTCCTCACCTTTATTTATTCATTCAGTATGACATATCAGCCTGGATTGAACTTTGGACACAAGGAATGAGAATACAGATGACTGAATCGACACGTTTAATGGGATAAAACTTAGTTTGGATTTGTTTTATATAAATATATGAAAAGAAGTAGCTACTAATTAAGCAAGGTGTTTCTGTTTTCACTAATTATTGCTGAACCCCCCCCCCCCCAGAATTTCCTCTTGAAACGAATGTAGTGTCTATTTTAGTTTAATCGGATCCAGTCTGATCTGATGTAGTACATATATATTGTAGTCTACGTTTTATCAACTAAACTAATATGTCTGACTGAAACATAAACAATTTCGTCGCCGAATATTGAATACCTCCCAAAACTCATTTGCACGGTGTGGCGTTCAGATAGTGCTGAATTCTCCGAAAAAGCTTGAAAGCATGTCGAACAATGTGTGGACACACCCTGTATGCGTATGAAAGCCTTAGTTTTGAACAACTGAAATGCACACGTACAATTGGGTTTTGGAGTACAATGCAATGTTATCATGCTTTGGCAGGATGCATGGGAAAATAGGAAACACCGAGCAAAAGAGCTCACAATCTGCAATCATTAAGCATAATTCAGAGATGGAAATGTGAGTTGCTTGCAGCATCATTTACAGAGAAATGTTCTTCTCTCTGTTGAACGTTATTTGTGAGAGAACTGCCGTTTTTAATTAAACTGTGGATATTTGCTACACAGCGGTTGTAGATGGGGCTTTTTGAAACCGAGTCAACAATTTTTATGAACAAAACATTAAAGCAAGAAGGAGAAGAAGAAGAAAAAAGTTGTTGGCCAAACCAAATCCACCGGAGCTTTTCGTGCTGATGTGTGTAATTATAACTGTGCCTTTGCCCGCAGCTTTAGGGCCTTTATACGAATAAAAGGTGGCTTGAACAGCCTGTAAAATGGAGACCACGAAGAAAGGAGCAGCAGCAGCAGGTCTGTTACCATAGCGGCTCTGAATCTTTCATGTGCGGCTCCCATCATGTGCTTATGTTTATATGAAAGAGGAGTCGATCCTTGTGTTTCTCAGTCACCTTGGTCATGTTATAGGTTCTGTGATCAAAGCTATATATATTCTTAAGAGCTGAACAGAAAAAAAAAAAAAGTTTCACAGGATGTTGTAATTTAGAGGTTCCAGTGTGAGAAAAGCTGCCTGTTCTAGTTTATATCAACATATTACCCCATGGATTAATTTTGCTTTGTATGACTGAGACAAGGGTGGGTCGGACAACATATTTTGCATATCACGTGATTCCGCATTAACAAATCAACAATTACCTTCCCTTTATTCTTCTGGAGTTGCAAAAGGACCTTGCAAGAAAGCGGTTTGTGCAAAGCTCCATGGAAATGTGTGAACGGAATCCCTTAAATCCCGGCTATGTTGGTTCTCTGCTGAATTTCGCTGCCCCAGAATCGCTCTACTTCTCCAACCTTTGCGGCAATGGGGCCCATATACCAGGGCTGCATCAGCTCCCTGCGTATAGCAGAAGAGAGGTTTGCGCGCACCCGTGGTCTCCGTCAAGTTCGTGTGCCGCGGCTCCTCCGAGTCAGAGCCGCCCCTTCGGAGGCTTTTGCCCGCCGTTCACCAACTCCACCGGCGGCCTTGTCAAGGCGCACCCGGAGGAGCGTGACCACGCTCGGTGCTTCCAAAAGACCGGGGAGGCTGGCAGGCTACAGGAAGCAGTGTATGCTGCGTCGGAAGACGGGATCCGTGGAATCTCAGAGTTAGAAACAGAGTCACACTGCTCTGAGACTCAGCTTGATCCGGATTCATCAGCGCCTCTGAGCGGCACCAAGCAGGAGCACAAACCCACTGAGGCACCATCAAATAGCCCGTGCTCCAGGACCACATTTGGCCAAGGTGAAGGACAAAACAAAGACTATTTTATTTGCCTGTTTCAAGTCTAGTTAGGATAATTTGCCTCTTTTCAACACTTTAAATCAGATGCTACTAACTAAAACCTTTGGTTTGGACTTAGGATTTTAAGAAACGGCTCCCTAAGCCCCTCTTATTCAGAGTTTTTGGAAAGATCCAAAATCCAAGAGTTTACTTTTCACACTCTGTGCTATGCAATTATGACATACAGAGATATATTCTATTCTGAAACCATCATTGTTATGTACATATGTATATATCAAAAGTATATAACATCAAACTAAAACAAAATCTATTAAAACACAATAAATATAACAGTTAGTAGACGGGGATTACTAAATATAAAATGGAATATAGTTAAAGAATTTGGAAATTGGCCTCGCGCTATACAATGCAAATTTCCTACGAACAAAAACATTAAAAAACAACAGAAGATGACAGTGAAAACTCCCAAAGTAACGTTTCAAATCTGACAAATGAAGACGGCCAGCGCCCAGCCATGGTGATATGTGCATATAAAGTGCAAACTGGAGTCGACATTACAGTAAGACGCAAGTGCTTTTTAATAATTCAAGGCACTTGCTGGATAATACAACTTTAGAGTTTTCTTTGAGAGCTTCCAGTTTGGACCTTTCCTCTTTTCATTTTCCAAAGACTAATATCAGAAATGTATGAAAAATATATTAAATCACGCTTCAAGTGCACTTTACAGCCCAACTGCAGAAGATGGAATTACAAGATAACTAGAGCATCAACATGCTTTTTTTTTATTTTTTGCTTTGATCATTAGCATGCTGTTACAAATAGGAGTTCTTAATTGTGGAGTTGGATGGAGGAGGCGTGAAAAAACAAAAATCTGCTTCTCAGTGTTTGATGATCAGAACTGATCCAGAGAAACTCGACCGATTCAGGCCTCTGGCCCATTGATCGACGCAACTCTTGGAATTTACACCGCTTTTCTTTCTCTGCACTTCTGCATCTATCCATACTTAAGTTTATTTTGAGTTTGAAAAGGCGGACCCGCTTCCTTTGTGACATCATGAAAACCCATCCAATTCCGTCAGATTGCATGAACACATTCAGAAGTTATTCACAGTCCAATTTGACCGTAATTCTAATGAAATGCAGTCCATTTTATTAGACTTAGTTGAGTAATATTTGCCAATGGGGAAATGTTGTATATCCTTTTAAACATTTTTCCCTTTGAATTTATATGTTGTTTGTGTGTGTGTGTGTGTGTGTGTGTTATTTATTTATTTTTTATTTTTGTAAAAGCGTTAAACCTGTCGCCTCTCTCTCCTCCTCAGGTGCCCCCTGGTGCTCTTCACACGTGAAAGCCCGAAAGAAGAGGAAGCCTTACACGAAGCCCCAGCTCGCTGAACTTGAGAATGAATTTCTGCTGAACGAGTTCATCAATCGCCAGAAGAGAAAAGAACTGTCAGATAGACTCGCACTCAGCGACCAGCAGGTGAAAATCTGGTTCCAGAACCGCCGGATGAAGAAGAAGCGCCTCATGATGCGCGAACACGCTTTCGCCTCGTACTGATGTGACCTTTGGACTTGATCCTGAACCGGCTGGGGAATAATTCCAGACTTGCTCTGTCGTCCCTTCTCTGCTTTCTGTAGCTATGTCTTCGCTGGTATTAAATTGTACATCTCAGTTTTATTATTTGGAGTCGCGGGAAGGTTTTTGGAGCGGATTATTGAGCACAAAGCGCACGACTGCCACTCTACCGACCGGATGTCTGGTCCTATATTTACTCCTGTCTGTTTTCTATCTAAGTTAACAAAAGCACTTTGGCTATTTTTTAGGAAAGGATTGCTTGATCTTACACCAGGATTATTTTCGCTACACAGACGGACACACTGTTTCACGCAAACACATTTTGTTTCATGGGCCTAAAGTAAAAAGCCTAAAATAACAAGCTATAATGCTGGTATTTCTTATCTTTGAGCTCAACGTTCTTATTAGCTCAAGATGAATTCTAGGATTTTTTTTTTATCAGGATCCCTCCTTTTTAGTGCGAAGCTGTATTTCGCGCGAAGGTTTTCTTATGATAACTCAAGTCGTTCCCATGTAACATTGTTGTCAAAATTGAAAGATTAAAAAAAAAAAAAAAATATATATATATTATATATATATATATATATATATATATATATATATATATATATATATATATATATATATATATATATATATATCTTAATTATATATATATATATATATATATATATATATATATATATATATATATATATATATATATATATATATATATATATAATTATATTGTGGTTGCATGTCCTTTCTATCACACGTTTCGGCAAAGCAAATTGCGTGCCCGCCTATTTAATTCCTTTCTGAATCTATTTTATAATCTTTTACATTTTATGTTCATTTATTTATTTCTGATTTGTATGAGTAACAATTCAAACGAGCAATGCGAGTTAATGTGGAAGAATTTGAGGGTGCTCCATTAAACAATACATATTTTCTTGTCTTCTTTCATATGGTTGCAAAGTGACTTTTGTCTCTTTTATTCGGTTTAATGCATGTCGAAAGGGCATCCTAGTGACTCTTTGAATGTGTTTTTTTTTTTTTTTAACACCAGAAATGATGCATCTTTGGAATTACAAACACAACCATGAAGAGTCTCCTTCACGGACAGTAGGAAAAATGGGTCGGTAGTCAGGACGCAACAACAGAAGACACGGAGTTGTAAATAAACGTAATTTTAAAATACTTGTTGTTGAATATTATTGTATAATATGTTCATGTGGCGGCGTTTGTTCGTGTGTCAATCAGATACTCAGACATTCGCTCAGTGGAATCTGTGCAGCCTTTGCTACATTTAAATTAGTTCTGTCTGCAGTTTTGCAGAAGTGAAACAGTAGTGGAGAGGTCAGAATTTACAAGTTCTCCAATGCTTCAAATGCGTGCAACAAAGGGACAATCATTATTTTTAGCCACACAGATCCCACAATATTATCTTTCCCTGGATAATATGTTATGCATCATATTTGCTGAATTCGCAATCATTTAAAGGCGCTGCGCTTATTTTTAAGTAATTTCCTAATTCCACTGAGCAGTCTTGCAGGGGTGAGAAAGTAGTGGAGAAAACAACAAATACAGGCTCTCTCACTACAACTACTGTTTGACATGCGCACACGCAGCGATGAGTAAATGTTATTTTTAGCCCACAAGATCTCCATAAAATATTATCTCCTGATAGAATATCCAGCACTCTGTTTGATACGAAATACCCCAGTAGTTAATATCACCTTGTTTATTTATCTGCGTAAATCTTCCTTGACGTGCGTTACACAGCAGCCGCAACCATCACCCACAGTGGGCAATTCCTGTGGCTGTGACCTATCGTGTCGGATGTAATTCAATAGTCAAACACCTCCTGAGTATCTCTATCACGCTTGCTGCACATTAAAAGACCCCAAAGCAGACGTTCAAGTGAAAGTGTTTTTATTATCCTTTTTTTTTTTTTTTTTTTTTTTTTTTACAGAAAAACAGGCTTCTCGTTGTGATTGAGGAGTGACCCGGTGGTCTCAAATTGTCACTCCAAGACACAGATAAGAGACTGAAGATCACGTCTTGGGAGTGGGTGGGTGGGGATGACGAAACAGCAAAGGAGCAGCGTGGGAGACATATAACAATGGAGAGCGTCCATCTGTGACTATTCTACACATAATCAAGTTCTCAACACCGCATCGATGGAGCTCACTTATTTCTCTGACACACTCTTTAATGTGCAAGAAGAGACAAAATCTTAGATTTGTCACTACTGTCAGATAAAAAAAAAAAGCACTTTTACCATATTTTCCACACTCAATGAGTTTGTGTGTATTTTGCATTTTCTTTGTTGTAACGCCTCAACACACACATTTAAAGTGCTGTAAATGCTTTTTAAAGCATAATTTCATTTATCTGCATAGTATTTCTAGCATAATATTGCTGCTTCTCTTTGCTCTTTCTCTTAAACATAAAAAGGGCTGCAGAAAGAAAGTTAAGGTCAAGTTAGCATGACTGCGGCGTCAAACAGTCCAAACAAAAGGACACGTGTTTTTGTGGATGCAAAAAGGATTTTTACTTGAAGAATCCACATCAGTCTTCAGTATACAAGTTCGGATTTTACGCAGTAAGTAAATTAGAGGCTTTGCAACACTATCACAAAGGGTTTTAGAAATAATATAGCATATGTTTTGGACATTTTCTATTTAAAACAACCTTAAGCCAACAGTGCATTTAGTTCATGTCTATATTTGAAAAATTGATTTGAGAAGGTATTTTGGTGCAACTGCGTTACAATGTTGAAAGTAATAATAAAATCACACTTCGCCACAAACAGATAATCCATACAATTAACCATCTTAATTAAGTCACCAGAATTTGGGGTTGTTAAACTGTCAAAACATAATATGCAACGAATAAGGACTACTGTGTGTTTTCCCTAGACAACTTCAGCTTTCAGTATTCAACAATTATGCAGCACTGCACTTGTGTCTAGCTTAAAACAAAAAATAAAAATAAGAACAATGACAAAAAAAAAAAAAAAAAAAAAAAACGTGATTTCAGGACAACATAACTAATTCTAATTTAACTTAGTATTTACACTTGATGGGCCACATGTTCCGCCTGTGTGGGTCCAGTCAAAATGATCTTAAAAGAGAGACCAGAGAGTAACGTACAGACAGAAATCTCCACTGCTGAATTAAAGAGGTTGCCTGAAATCTTCGTGGGTTTGATCGTTCAAAGCAAACAACCAACAAATGCAAACTTTGTTTTCTGTTTCACATTTGCTTGTTTTTGGTGCTTTTCATTGTGCACTGTTGCTCTGCGTAAAGTGACGCACTGAACCACAGGAGTTTGCATACATTTTACCCCTTCAATGCGTGGATATGAAATTGCTGAAAAAGCTTTCTATTTTGTGAAGTAAAGCAAATGATAACGATGATGATAATAATAACAAAAAAGCTAAAGAAAAACAATACTCACACTTCCAAACAAAAATATTGTTCGAGGCTGGAGTGATGAGCTATCTTCCCCCCGTGTTTTTAACTTGAGTTTTCCCACCGAGGAAGGAGGCGAGCTTTACACGCATGATTGCCTGCGGGGCAATAAAACGGTATGGTTGCAGAGGAGACTTGTTGGACATCACCTAGACACGGCAGACGGTCAAAGCCAGTTGTTTTGGACTTGGCAGTGCAGAATGTGTACAGATATTCACATTTGAATCTACAGGATTTTGTTTTCGACTTTTTGTTCTTTCTCTGGATATTTTTTTTCTTTTACCCATTTAAGTATTGGATTTATTTATTGATTTGTTTAAACTTTTTCTTTTTTAATTAATCAGTTTGCGAGCTTTCATACAGATTGAGGCATTTCATTCTTTTCGTTGTTGCGCCTGTTTTCCATCACATTGCTGCTGTTAGTCTTCACTTTCTTCTGATCTTTTTGCTGGCGTTACTTTTCGTTTTTTTTTTTTTTTTCTTTTTTGCGTTACCGCACATTGCCCATGAATTAGTATGAAATTTAACATTTGCCTGCAAGAAAACGTAATTCTGCAGTGGTGGTGACCTTGCATTAAGCGTGCGGATAATTTTTCAACTGTTGCTTACAGACAATGCATTCCCTTAATTTACTGACGCATTGAGTGGGTGTGGCTGCAGAGATCAATCTCCAGCGAGAATGATCCTGCTGTACAGCATTAAAGTCAATATTCCAGCAATGGTTAAAAAATGTCTTTTTTTTTCTATGAGCTTTGGGGCAAAAAAGGGCTGGAGAGGAGTTTCCGTTGCAGCCAGGCAGCCAATGGAGTCTCTTGTAAGCGCTCACATGAGTTGCTTTTTTTCCCCCCGTGCTGTTTTTAATGACTGATATTGATGTATGGTAATTTCTTAGCTGGATCACATGACACAATTACCTCAGGAATCGATCAAGATGTATTGCAGGTCTGCCTGCGTTTCCGATTTTTCCTCTCTGTCGGGGTCTCTTCGCACACCCGCGGTGCTACAGATGGACAAAGTTTAACGCGGCCGCGCCGCCAACTCCGTCCCTCTGTTGCATGGAGGAAAAAGGAAGAAGAAAAATGACGGAATTCGACGACCGCAGCTGTGCGTCAAATATGTTTTTGCCCAGCTGCACTTATTATGTTTCGACGCCTGATTTCACTTCAGTCTCCTCCTTTCTACCGCAGACTACTTCGTGTCAGATAAATTTTCCCTATTCGCCAAATATAACCCAAGTCCAACCTGTTCGAGAGGTCGCGTTCAGGGATTATGGACTGGACCATCCCAAATGGCACTACAGGGGCAATTACGCGTCTTACTACTCAACGGACGAGATAATGCACCGGGAACTGATTCAGTCGTCGAGCGGCAGGGCGGATGTGATATTTAAAAACGAGCCCCTGTACGGTCACCACGGAGGAACCAGCGCGCAGTGCAATTTCTTCGCGGGAGTGGGCCGAAACGGTGTTCTTCCCCAGGGCTTCGACCAGTTCTTTGATTCTCCTAACACGGAGCACCCCAAACAAAAGGCTGCAGAGACTGCTGCCCACGACCATCATGACGATGCTGATGCCACGAACATCAGCCAGGCTGTAACCAAACTGGAGCAACAAAACGCAGAACCTCCCGGGAGCGTCGACGAGGACTCATCTTCCAACTGCGGCGACAAGAGCAGCCGTCAGAGTGAGTCTAGTCTGTATTTTCCCTCATTATGCGTTGAACAAAAGGTGTTTGCAGCGTCTGGGATGCATAGTGTCCACCTCCGTGACGATCCGTGGGTTATATGCAGCTTTATAAGCATGCAAAAGCTTTTATATCCCAATAAGATTTACTTTACGGTTGTAAAGGAATTTACAATGGGAAACAGTTAAAGCAACCATGCTTTAAGGTTTCCTGTGTGCAAGAACAATGCAATGTCGATTGATTTAACTTAGATTGATGGAGCGTTAAAAAGTGATCATTTTGGCGGAGGGATCGATAGTTTTAAGGCAGATTTAAGATGAAAAAATTGGTGCGCATTGTGCCAAAATACGCATGACAATCAGGTCTTTTTAATGCAGATAACCTCTGAATTGTGTGTGTTTGAGTGTGTATGTGTGTGTGTGTGTGCGCGAGCGTTCGAGTTGTCTGTTTAGCTTTACGTGTGTGTGTGCGAGTGTGAGCGTGTGTATACGTAAGGGCCTTCCTACCAATAAAGGCCTGACTAAATTATTGCATTTTCTTTCTTTTTTTTTTTTTTTTTTTTACACAGTTTACTTCACTTGTAGACTCGATGATTCCGGACCCTGACCGAAAACCTTTCTCCTCTCGCAGGGGTTTGGTTTGTGTTCACGATTGTTTTTTTGTTTTTTGTTTTTTTCCTGTTTTGCAGGTTCATCAACCAAGTCCAGGAAGAAGAGGTGTCCGTACTCCAAATACCAAATCCGAGAACTTGAACGAGAGTTTTTCTTCAACGTTTACATTAACAAAGAGAAACGCCTCCAGCTGTCCAGAATGCTGAATCTGACTGATCGCCAGGTGAAGATTTGGTTTCAGAACAGGAGAATGAAGGAAAAAAAACTCAACCGCGACCGCCTACAGTATTTTACTGGAAACCCTTTATTCTGATATCTGAGGCTTCCTTTAGCATCCAAAGACACACAGACTGAACTGAAAAAGCTTCTTGGTACTATATAAGAACTGCAAGCTGATTTACCACATATTTTAGACAATTGGTACGTTTATTTTAAGCTGTCCATCCATTTATTGGCTTCTCACTGGCAATTAAGTCAATCAGAATATTTTCATTGTTATTTTGACATCATATTAAATATATTCCTCCTTCTTTTCTTTGGTAGATATATTTGTAACGTGCATGTGTTAGATGTTGTGTGTTGTTAAATAATAAGCAGAGCAAACAATTTCTCTTTTACAAAAATACTCGCGTGCGGCTCAAACAAAATAAGAAAAAGAAGAAGAAGGAGAGCGATTTTGTGTTATATTTGAAGGGGGTTGGGGTGTTCCCCACGAAACATGAAGGAGCGCTGTTTCAGCTTGGTGCTAGAAGTCTTGTATGATCCCGTTGTTTCCTCTGCTTTGAAAAACTGAATTGTTTGCTAAACCTTGAACCGTCTAGACAGCATAATAAAAAGTAGCTGTAAAGATCTAAATAAGGGGCTATTGGACTGTGGTGTTTCAGCCCCCCAGACCACATGAGGAACAGATCTTCCTTCCGGTCTTAAAGAGCTTTTACTCCACATCCAAGCGCATTTCTATAGGGTTTCCACCAGATTCAGATTTTGTTGTGTTTGTTTTGTTTTCTTGGATGTTTTCTTTTCTTTTTTTTTTTTTTTTGTTTTATTTTGTTTTTTTGATCTTGTTGAATTTGGTATGTCACGGACTTCTGGCATCACCTGCAAAGGACTTGGAACCTGCGGGAGAAACAGATTTGTCAAGTTTGACCTTATTTTCGACTCTGCTTGAATGTACTGAAAACGTGTTGAGCAGCTTCGCTTTACAACCCTGTTTTGCAAAAAAAATAAAATAAAAATAAAATAATAATAAAAAAATATATAAATATATATATGTATATAAAGTCTCGACTGCAACAACTTTGTTCACAGAAACCTGTTCATGACACTTGCAATGCAGAAGAATAATTAATATAGTCTCACTGTATGTTTGGGCCGTTTTCAAGTCACGAACGAACAGGAAGTAATGTCAAAGTTATTTCTTTTTTTCATGCACTTTTTTCATGCACTCTAATTTCCATGGGTCGTGATTTTATTCTGGCATGAAAATGGATCACCAACTGCGTGGTGTGTGTGTTTTTTTTTTATATTCACATTGTATCCACATGAGGGCAGACTTTCATATTGAGTTGAATGGAAACGCAGACTCGGGCAAATTTAATATGTATCCAACATGGAAACCAGTCCGAGGTGGAACAATATGTTCTGCCCAGGGATTACTGGGATTTTATTTTAAGCAGTTCCTTCATCTAAATCATCTATTAGGCTTTTCACAATATCTTTCCTTTTAGCCTTCCAGGCACACCCGTAAAGACACTTATAAAATTACCAATAAATGAAAAAGGAAAAAAAATGCAGTAATTATTATTTTTTTATTAACACACACACACACACACCCCCCCCCCCCCCCCCACACACACACACACACACACACACACACACACACACACACACACATATATATATATATATTATATATATATATATATATATATATATATATATATATATATATATGTTTTATCTATGTTTATATATTTATATATATAAACATAGATCAAGTAGTCGGATGTTCTAGTGGTTTCATCAGGTCTGAACTCACTGGTGAACAAACTAGATCAATTCCATCCTCAGGCTGCGCAAAGCAAACCAGCGACAGTGCTAAAGGCTATAAAGGTAACATCACATTGTTGATCTTGCGAAGTTCGATCTGTTATTGCATGAACAATCTGCCTTTTTCTGTAGCCGTCATAGCATTTGATATAAATCATTGCCAAACTGAAACAAAAAAGAAGAAGAAAAGAAACAAACAAAAATAATATGTCGTGGTTCATGTCTGTCAACCGTAATTAAAACATTTGAATGAGAGTTTAACTTGGGGGAACGTTTTCTTAATATATTATATTATATTATATTATATTATATTATATTATATTATATTATATTATATTATATTATATTATATTATATTATATTATATTATATTATATTATATTATATTATATTATATTAGACATTTTGTTTTACCCTAAAATTATGCTTAACAACAACAACCACAACAATAATAATAATAATAATAATAATAATAATAATAATAATAATAATAATATAATAATAATAATAATAATAATAATAATAATAATAATAATAATAATAATAATAAAACTAGTGCTTGTAGTAAAACTTTGACAAGTTCGTTCATTTACATTTTTTTTCATGAAACAAAAAAATAATAATACATATCCAATTGTATCCTGGAGACAACGGGATATCTTGTATCCATTTATATCCACTCAATCTTATGTATGTTTTAAGTGCATTTTCTGGCTTTCCTTGGAAAATATATCCCCACATAACAGAGGTTTGTTTGCACATTATCTGGAAAGGGTCGCATGATCAATATGGAACAAGTTCTTTTTAAAAGCGAAACATATTTAGCCTACTTTTATCTCCTCATTAAAAATATAATGTTCCTTTTATAAGCGACGTTGCAGTAAATTGAGCCATAGCATTTTATTCGCAAACTATTAATGCTGCCAGGAGATAGCATTCAATATATCTATGATACCTCTGTAGTTATATCAGACTTTGCCACTATATTGCGTGATTCTGCTTCTTATTGTAATCATCGCCCATAACACTGGGACAAGTCACAGCTTTTGTGGCTGGTATTCTAGCATTTGCCCAGATATCACTAAGCGCTGATTTTACTGGAAACACTTCATTCGTCCACCTTAAAGGCTGAACAATGAAGCTCTTGATACTGCGCATCCCGCTGCTCCCATCAGGTTATTTTTAACGCAACGAGTGAAATTAGGTTTAGATAGAATTAAGAACGATCTAATTTATGACATGAATAACATAAAGCCGTTCTCTGTGGACAAAGTACCAGGGGTACCTTCAGGGGAACCCAAGCGCCAGTCGCATAAAGCTCTGCGGTTCGTTTGTGCCTTTTTGTTTGGAGTAACGTGTGCGCATAATTCAGCCTCTATGGCTTGTTAAATATATTTCCAAAGAAGATGTCTCAGAAATTAGATAATATTAAAGACATAAGCAAAAAAGTGTATCTGCATTTTACTTTTCTTTTTTTTAAATTTAATATTTAGGTAATGTCTCTATATCTCAAATGCACATGTGAGCTCTTTTTCGGTTTTGACTTTGGAAAACATTATGAAATAATAAATGTTTTTAATTTGCTAATACGTTTAACTGATTATAATCTTACGATGTGTTGTCACCAATGCACCATTCAAACTGCAGAACACACACCACGCACAAGCACGCGCCCGCGACACACTTACACACACACACACACACGCACACACACACCACACACACATTACACACACACACACACACACTGACGCACACACCTTCATACACAGACACACACATCATCCACATTGCTACCCTATTACTCACAAATACATACTTTTAACCTTTGTGCGTAAAAACAAGCCTTACACACTGTTCTTGTGAAACAAAGAGACATCGACGAGAAATAAGAAATGCTTGTGAAATTCCACATTTAGTTTTTATTTTACATGTTCCTTTCAACGTAATCACACAGCCTCCTTCAAGTCGTGCAAAACCAATTTCAAGTCCGCGTCATAGGTGTCGCTGTTGACCACGTCTGCCTCCGCAGAGAGAGCGCGTCCAGCCAGAGGAGGCTGCGTCTCAAGGCCATTTTCAAATCTCATTGGTGGGTTTGTCATGTGGTCCGCAGGCATCCTGACTAACAGATTGTTTTTCCTAGACATGTCAGCTTTCAAAAAGACATCTCTCTTCTCTTAAGAACTAAAACTCCAAAAAAAAAAAAAAAAAAAAAAAAAAAAAAAAAAAAAAAAAATAGAGATGTCTTTCCCCAGCAGTTCACCTGCGACCAACCCGTTCTTAGTGGACTCTTTGATCGGCGCTTGCAGGACAGACAGCTTCTACTCCAACAGCAGCATGTACATGCCGTCCGGCTCGGATATGCACGGAACCTACGGAATCCAAACCTGTGGACTCCTGCAGCCTTTCGGCAAAAGGGGGGAGGTTGGACCCCAAAACACGGCCATGAGCGTCCACTCGTACATACCTCAGATGGACACCTGGACTGATCCGAGCAGAACCTGCAGAACAGAGCAGATGTCAAACTGCACGTTTCCACAGAGCATCAAGGAAGAGAGCAACTGCTGCATGTACTCAGATAAGCGAGTCCAAAAAGAGGGATATTCGAACGTCATTGGAGAACCCTTCGCCGTGGAGGGTCCGGAGATCCCGGTTCCGGGCTACTTCAGATTGAGTCAAACTTACGCCAACGGGAAGCACCCGGAAAACTACTGCCCGGAGCCGCCGAGCCCGAACCCGACACTCGCGCAGCTCAGCCGGGTCACTCCGAAACCGCAGCACGCCACCTCCTCGTCCTCTTCCTCTGGCTTTGCGGAAGCGGAAAAGAACGTCCCGGATCCAGAAACGATCACCAGCACACCGAACCGAGGGGAGAGTCCGGACCCAGTAAAGTCCGGCTCTGAAGAGAAAACCGAAGCGTCCAGCCCCGAGCTGCAGAAGGAAGGGAAAGGTGGGTTGGCTGCAGTGAAATGAAAAGCTTTTATCCGCAGCTCTGAGGAGGCTCCAGTAGCATCATAAAAGCAAGTATAAAACACAAACAGCCCTAAAGTCGTAATGTTTAATGATAGTCTTTCTCAGGTTGCAATAATGGGCAGCTGAATGCTTTTACCATGCTACATGAACCCCTCTGTCTCCTGTCTATTATTGTTTAGAAATATATATCATAGCACATTTTTAAGGTAATTTTCACAAATTGAACTTGCAATTAATTACACTAATTAATTGACTGACTATTAAAACTACATTTCATTAGTGCTACATCAGTTGGAATGTGTAATTTGAACTTTTCAGAAATCAACAAACAAACAAAAAAGTAAATGTAATGTAACACCATGGGTTTATTTTTAGTCCTTGCAATCACCTCCTCTAATTTATTTTTCTTATTCAGGGAAAAGCATTTACATTGCGTCTTATTTCCCAGAGGTGAGATCCAGAAGCAGCAGGTGAGATGTTTATGCTCAGCAGTGTACAATCTGCCTCGTTTCTTTCCTCTCCTCAATCTGCAGACTGCAAAAGTGAGGCGCTGACGAACAACTGGCTCACGGCGAAGAGCGGCAGGAAGAAGAGGTGCCCCTACACTAAGCACCAGACCTTGGAGTTGGAGAAGGAGTTCCTGTTCAACATGTACCTGACCCGGGAGCGCCGCCTAGAGATCAGCAGGAGCGTCAACCTGACCGACAGGCAGGTCAAGATCTGGTTCCAGAACCGCAGGATGAAATTGAAGAAAATGAACCGGGAAAACCGCATCCGGGAACTGACCTCGAATCTCACCTTTTCCTGAGCCTCCACGCGCCACTGGTTATAGCTATTTTTAGTTTTCAGTTCATTTGTGTGTTTTTTGTGCTTTTCGTGGCATTTGGACGTTTATCTTTACTTCCTCACAAAGCTGTGACTGTCTCCTGTGTTGCGTGGCGTCGTGTGTTTGTGTTATTTCATCACAGGGTTGAGCACTTTTTTGGTCTTAAAACATTACGTGGCGAACGAGCACTCCTTCCTTTTTACCAAAAGACTTCCTGAGATAAAATGGGAATGAAGAAGCCGTGGAGTCACGCAGGCACATTTTGACGTGTTTGTCTTTTTTTCCCCCCTTTTTTTTGAGAAACATTTCTTTTGCTCTTTTCGTGCAAGCCTCCCTTCTTTTGTTTGATGCAAACACGTTTCCTTGATGGAAAACAATGATAAACTGTGGATTTATTGCATGTTTTGGTGCATGTGTATCTTGCAATAAATATGTGGTCAAAGAAGCTGGTTTTATTTGCATTCGTGTGGTCAAAGGCTTTTCTTTTTTGATTATGATGTTTAAAATGGAGGAATATGTGCGCAAGAGAAACAATGAAAGAAAATGTTAGGTTTTTGCACTCCGAGTCAAAGAGAGACGAGAGAATGGTTTAGTTAATGAAATATAAATATATTAAATTACTCTAAAAATCTACGAACTTTCATTTGCGTCATGTTATATAGTATTATTTAAACCATAGCCCATCTCGCAAAGGAAAACCCTATATGAAATTCTATGAGACAGGAACGCAAAAAAAAAAATTCTTATTTATTTCCAAATGGACATAAATAACACTCCCCAATAATTAAAACTGTAATAATTAAAATCGCCCGGAAAAGTAAAAATAAAAAATGTAAGGTAAGAACAAAAATAAAGTTCTTCAGATGCGATTTATCGCAGAGAAAATACTTAGGTCTGCTTCTGCATTTGGAATTTAAAAAAAAGCTGAGGCAATGCAAAGAGGCGGGGATTCTGTAATTAAAAAAACACGCTAATGCTTTGATGGTTAATCATGTTTATAACCTAACTAATACGCCATAAACACGGCGTTAGAACGGGTTATATAAAAGAACGAGTTCAGTTGGAATTAGAAAGTTCTGCGTGTCCTCCGAGATATTCACCCTTTTTGTTAAATATTCAAAAATAAATTCACACCTGGCCACAACATGGTAAAAATGCATACATATTTTTTAAATTACAAAAATCCCCAAATTATTATTATTATTTTGTTTTTTTGCAAAATTCATAAACACTACTCAAATGTAGCAATCCAATAACTTTTAATAAAATGACATAATTCTGTGGAATTGGGATAAACATATTTTGCTTCATATCAGCCTAAGAATTAAAATTACATTTAGAAGAAGAAGAAGAAGAAGAAGAAAAAATCTGGTTAACATCTAAACACAGACACAGCCCTTTTGGGGGGAAAAAAGAAGACGTATAATCACACGCACCTCATAAAACATTTATTGATACATTATTGCTCTGCCTTGAATGAATACAATAATTTCAGCCACTGCTATTTCCTCCCTTAGCATGGAAAAACGAAACCAAGCCGTAATATAATAGAGTTCAACATAATGTACTTTTCCTTGCCAAATATTAACAATGCACACACCGCATTGTGAACGGAAACGGCGTCTGCTACTTTACAGCGTGTTATTACATCTCTTTTACGAGGACTTTGTAAGTCTATAAAGAGCTTTACAGGCATTCAGGGTATGTCGGAGCGATATTATAAGAGTATTCTTAGACATATACGGAACAATTCGGATTTATCTGAAATTTAGATTCTTTGATGTCTGATTTCTCAGAATACATATGTTGACTTCCACCGCATTTTGTTTTATGATTTCCTACAATGAAAATCTAAATTAAACCTGATGAAAAAAGGGGGAGGATTTATTCACTGGCTGTATTGGTAAATATGACCACGTGATCTATGCAACCAATCCCTGTAAGATGCAGGCCAGCAAAAATACTATGATTGTTCATAGAGGGAAGCTTCCCGTTAACAGCGCAACCCTTTTTATATGAGTAAGGAAGGGATGGAAAAATGTCTTCCAGCGGCGCTCTCGGTAACTGCTTTGTGGACGCTATGATGGGGCAGGAGCCCGAGGAGATGTACGGAGCTCGCTTCATCCAGCCGCCGCACACCATGACCCCGAGGCCGCCGCCAGGTGCCGGGGACAGCGCAGACTTCTCCTCCTGCAGCTTTTCACCAAAGTCCACCGTGTTCACCCCGTCCTGGTCCTCGATGCACCCTCAGGGACTTTACCACCCCTATGTCCACCATCACCACCACCAGTCCCATCTGCCCGCATCCGACAGCAGATACGTCGGCGTGCGCTCCTGGATGGACCCCATCTCCAACCACGTTTCCTTCGCCGGGTTCCACTCCTCCGGCAGCAGACCGTATGGGACTAAGCCGGAGCTCCTCCTGCCCGGGAAGCCTACAGGCGGGGATCCGCTGGAGGAAAGTGAAGCCGGGAGCGGAGCCGAGGCTCGACCCGTGACCGCGGAGTTCTCCTGTGGAGCTGCAGAGTGTCCGGAAAAGGCGAGCAGGGAGCAGAGTGGGAGCGAGGCTTCGAGTCATGGCGATCCCAAAGACGAAAAGCCACAACAACTTGACCCAAGTAAGTTTAAGAAAAAAAAAATAGAAATAGCTGGTGCTGATTTACAACTAGGAGAACTGGATGAGCTGGGTGTGTAAAACTGGAGGTTTTACTAACCTATAAAAGTGTCTGGGACTATACTGAGGCTGCGTATGGGGGTGGGGGGAAGCCGCCCTGAAAAGGTTATTGCAGGGATCTCTGGTCTTTTCCATGCAATAAAGTCACCCAAATATGATGCGTTAATTCAACAACAATCTTCTCAGGAAGATGAAATTAATTTAATCCCAATTATTGTATATAATATCTACCTGTATTCCGCTTTTAAAAAATGTTCCCGCACTCATCACAAATCCGCTGTTTTAAAACTCAAGCCACATTCGTGATCACCTCATGTTATATCTCCTTTTCTAGATAACCCTGCTGCCAACTGGATCCACGCCCGCTCCACGAGAAAGAAGCGCTGCCCCTACACTAAATATCAGACTTTAGAGCTGGAGAAGGAGTTTCTCTACAACATGTATCTGACAAGGGACCGGCGCTACGAGGTGGCTCGCATACTCAGCTTAACGGAGAGACAAGTGAAGATCTGGTTCCAGAACCGGAGGATGAAGATGAAGAAGATGAACAGAGAGAGAAGCGGCAAGGAGATCATTTAAACTCTTTTTTTTTTTTTGAGGCAAAAAGAAAACCCATCTGAACTCTCTCACAGTAATTTTTTGCAGCCATTTTTTTTTCAAATGGGCCTTTGATTGTCAGTGACAGCATCATCGGACACACATGCATCACATATGAGGAATTTGTCCTGGTGAGATCCAGCACCGGATAACTTCAAGCCATACAAACTGGTTTTCATTTTTGTCAAGCCTCATCAGCTGCACACTGGGAAGTTGAAACGTGCCAGTGTGTGTGTGTGTGTGAGTGTGTGTGTGTGCGAGTGTGTATTTTTCGCCTTTTTTAAGATATGGAGTAAAATATTTCCCCTTGCAGCAAGACATTTTGACTTCTCTGGTTCCGAGCACACACACACACACACAAATGTGATCCCTGCGACAAGGGTTATAAACAATGTTTACAGAAAAAAAAGGTGTGTGCGCGCGCGTGTGTGTACAGCTTCTTTAACTAAGAGGGTGCGATATATTCCCAAAAGGCTTATTCCATATTTATAATTTACATCAATAAAGAAAAATTACATGATTCTAATGTTAGTGATTCGATTTTTTTCCCCATCAAAAACATCCTTCATTGCATTTTTGACATGTAACTCATTGCATTTGTGACAAGATAAGAATGACATATTTTTCTAAAATTAAACATTTTAAGGGTAACTTTTATATAAGTAATAAAGTGTTTATGATGGGGCGAGGGTGTTTTCGACGGATTTCTAATTTATTGTCCAACTTGCACCAGGAATTGCTTTAAAGCAGGAAGAAGCGCGGTCCAATAAAGCTATAGAAATGGCCAGACGTCTGGCCTAAATTAGTTTATGGGGACTGCTCAGTAATTGCACTCGGTTTTTGAAAACCCCCATTAGCTCCTCTTTTGGCTTTTTGCGCGTCTTGCTGACAAATAGAAAGTATAGACACTCTTTTTTTTTTTTTTTTTGTTTCCAGCAGGGGTGTCTGGACGATGAATTGTTTTAAAGGAAATCACCCCCCGAGACCCTCCCCTGGCTTAATGGTCAGGTTTATTCATCAACTGCACTTCCCACCGATGGGAAAAAACTTCACTTTGACTGCACGGAGCGCGCTGCGACCTTTCAATCTGATGGCTCTATTTCGCTCTGAGATGTGAAGCCACGCCAGGTGCCACTCCATCGTCATCATGCGTCGTTTATTTTCAATTGTGAATTTTGGTTCTTAAACTGACTGGCATGCTTATAGGGTCAGCTTCAGCTAAAACTGAGCGCTGAAATAAATAGCTTCAAAATGAATCTTTCATCTTCTTTTGAGACGCTTTAAAGAAGAAAGCTAAGACCGCTAGAGGGCGATGTTGGTCTTTAAGTGCAATTGAATTCTGAGGAGCAACTAATGAAATATCCAGTGTCCTCACACATGCGTCCAGTGATTTACATGGCATGGATGTCCATTCAGACGCAGGTTTGGCACGTTTTTAAAGATGGACACTTAATATCTTCTTTTTATACGTTTATTGTGTTTTTTTTTCTTCTTTTTTTAACGAGAGTAGCTTATTTGGACATCTTTTAACAGAATCCAGACCTCCTCCCTTCCATGTTGCTGGACAATGTCACACAGTTGCACAAAGGAGCAGGCAGTTTTTAATTTGACGGGACAGAAGTCAGCAGGAGTAGCAGGAAGTTCTTATTAATTTCGCATAATAATAATAATAATAATAATAATAATAATAATAATAATAATAATAATAATAATAATAATAATAATTGTCCCAATTACACGTTTTCCTGCACAAGCAAAAAAAAGTGGTTTGTTGTTTTATGGTTGGAGCAGAAGAAAAATACTTAGAGCTCAAAATGATCTTCAACCAATTATGAAACAATATTTTTAAAAACACTATTTATTTATTATGCAAATAGCAGAAACAGAGCTACTGGATGAACAGACACCCACTAGCTCATGTACTTTAATTTTCAAGTCAAAGTTAGAAAACATGTCACTGTCAAATTGAACAGCAGTAATTCAGAGTTATTGGTGCATGATAAAAAGAGTATACAAACTGCTATATTTTATTATCATGGTTGCTATTATATTTCTCTTAATACTGAAAACTGTGCTTGGCTTAGGTATTAATGAAGGAATGATAATTAATCCAAAATATCCCAGCGGGTAACAGTTGTCTATTTTAATTTAAGATGAAAAGCTCGTTGTTTATTTCTACAATGTTAAAATTAGTCTAATTTAAATTATGGTAGCTTATTATGTGTCCTGGATGGTTCCTCGATCTACAGCACCTCAGTGTAAACAAATCATGCCAACCTGGAGAAACAACAAAATCTACAGTAAATAACTACAAACTGCTAAGACAACAACAATGACAAAAAGAAACATCCCCTCTTTTGTAAACAGGGATGACCCAAGTCCTGGTTATATGGGAACCAAGTAACCATATGAGGCTCGAAACCTGCAAAACCCATCAGGGAACTAAAATTGTCTCCCAGATCAAGTTTACAGATGAAATATTTTCTGATTGAATTATGCATTAGTACCCTTGATGTTCAGTTTTGATCTTACCTAGAGCATGTAATATGTTTTCTGTCATTTCCTTTGTTTCTCTAAACAGATTTATGGTGAAGAAGTATATTAACTTTTGCAAATGCTCCCCCACTTACAATGACCTAATCTCCAAAAGTGCTGACAATAACTACAAGCTTCATCTAGATATGGAGGTTATTAGTGGAGATGTGATAACGCCCCATACTTGCACAGTCTTGGGTCACATTTGGTTGTAAGTAAAGCAATTTTACTGTTAAAGCAACAAAAGTTGTTTGCAATAAATGAATAAAAGTTTTCCTGGAAGAGGTTACTATCCAGGATTAAGCTAAATCAAACTCTTCATATAAAATTCATGTAGAAACCAAACCCCTCACTCTTTGTTGTTGAAGTGGTCTAGGGGAAAAAAATAATCAATTCTATGAAAAACACTAGCTTAAAAGAATGACAGCTACACTCAGTCAATTAAAAAAAAAAAATACTCATGAAAGCTTTGAAAGGGCTAACCACATGTTGGCCGCTGATAGTCTTGGGATTGGACATAAAAAAACCAAAACCTAAGTCAAAAGTATTATTCCGATATGATCTTGTGGCATAACTTGAAAGATGGGTCTAATAAAAACGAGTAGGACAAAAATATATGTACACAAACCTCATATGTGAATAAACTCCCCCCTCCCCCCCTTATTCCCTCACTACCCTTCTTAACATACTTTAAGCCGATTTTTTGGTGGATATCCTACAAAAATGAGCTGAATGTACATGTTGAAACAGACCAAATTTAGAGGTCCTTGATTTTGAAATTATTTAATTCTCCAAACTGTTTAACCAAGGTGTGACAAACAAGCAAGCAAACAAACAAACAAACTAACTAACTAACTAAACTAACTAACTAACTAACTAACTAACTAACTAACTAACTAACTAACTAACTAACTAACTAACTAACTAACTAACTAACTAACTAACTAACTAACTAACCTTTAACCTCTCAATTTTTAAAATAAACTAACACAAGGCCACATTGTACCATAACTACTACCGAATTGGAATGAAGAGCCTGACTCTGCATGATGTGTGAAAGTTTAAAGGGGTGGTCATTAAATTGCCCATAATCCACCCCATGTCTCTCTCCTTGGTGGAGCTACTAAAAAAACCCCTCGAACTTCGAGGATTACATTGCGTCAACTTCAACTCAGTTCAGTTCATTTTTTCCTAATTGCTAGCTTTTGGTTGGATTTGTTTGGAAACAGAAATCACCAGGCAGCCATCCTCTCAGACAATAAAAACAACCTCCGAGCAATAATCACCTCAAGACAACTCTCTTGCTAAAATAACGCAAATACACCAAATGCCTAAAAACACTGCGACGTATAAATGGAAGTAGGCATTTATAACATTTGCATGGACAAATACAATGCACACACACTACAGAGCTTTGACTGCTTTTGAGCCTGATAGTCATGAGAGTCTCCGATGTTCCAAGTGTCCAAACACAAGCAGCAGACGGCGCCGTCAAAGCACAAGACTAAGACAAATATTAGAACAATCAGAGGACACGCCGAATTGATTCTTTGGCTCTCAGTCTGCAGCCTTGATGTTTTCTAGGTGTCCGTGTGATGAGCGCACCGCCTCTAATGGAGATTTTAAGGTGACTGTCATGGCTGGGCAAAAAAAAAAAAAGAAAAAAGAAATCCTTTGAAATGTCGGCCACATGATTATAATTAAACCCTTTCAGCTCACAATAAAACATCAGTTCCATACTCCAGCATGTGCTGGGGAGATATCTCCAGTCTCAGTTGGTGCAGGCTGTAAAGCAAACAATCGAAGCTGTGGGAGGAAACACTGTTCTGGTTTGCTTTGTTGTGTAACCCGCCGGCTTTGGGCTGAGGCAGGCCAGCAGGAATATAACGCAGCCATTCAAATCGGAGTGCATTATGTAGTGTTGCAGGAATTTTTCTCAGTGTCCCAGTTTCCGAGTCAACACACACACACACACACGCACACACACACACACACACACACACACACACACACACACACACACACACACACACACACACCCACACACACACACACACACACACACACACACACACAGAGAGACAGACTTGGTGTCATGTGCCTGCGCCGATCATGATCGCAGGGTCAGCTATTTCAGTCTGCCGTCCTGCTGCAGCCGTGGATTGAAAATATTCACAGACGTTTTGTGACCAGGCTGGAAGCATTAGCCACTGGAAATGCACGTGTGGAAAACGCTGTTTATTGAAGCTATTAATGACCGGAAGCAAGCCAACGTTTGTGCTTTAACGCAAACAAGCAAACAAAAATGCTTAAAATCCACAACTACACAATGCACTGTCAGTATGTTTATGAATGTTTTCAAAAGTGCGCAGCGTATGTTTTTTGTTGTTGTTGTTTCTTTTTTTTTTTTTGCTTTAAATTAATTTCAGTTAATTTAGTCACCACAAAACACTAATAGGCTACACGACATTTCAAGACCCTTTACGATTAACCACCTCATCTCAAATTAAATCGATTGAATTCATTGTAATACGATCGTAATTATAAACAATACATGAGACACCGTTGATTATGTGGAAATAGACATAGTTGCATTTTCTTTATAAAGCACAATTAAGGTATTTTTTTCTCTAAGAGGCTTACAAACACCTAACAACTGAAATATTGTTCTAAACGAAGAAAACTCGATGTTTGTATTTCAGTTCGTTTTTTTTTTTTTTTTTTTTTTTTTTTTTGTGGTTCAAATCTGCGTAATTGCGCTGAGTTAAACTGCCTCTGCTCATCTATCGTCTCGTTTCCAGCCTACCTGAGTAAATTATATTCGGTTCGTTATATTTCATTTCGATTGAATAGAAGTTGACTCCGAGAAAAAAGCAAAGCCTGGAGCAGTTTTCTGAGGCTGAAAGGAGGTGAAAATAACCCAACGAAGGAATACAGAAACACACTGCGGAAGGATACACACCCAGTTAGTGTAAAATTTGAAGG